GGTTATTTCGAAGAAAGTTGATGTATTTTGAAACCAGTTTCTGGTACTGCAGATTCTTCATACTCGTTCAGTTTTCCAAGCCTACAGATTATCTATTTTTCAGCTCTATTACTCAAAAGAAGTGATCAATTCTCAGCGATATTTGTTTGTTTCACTGTCTGTACAACACTTTAATGAACTTTATTGCTGTGCAATTGAAAATTGATGATTATGGAAATTAAGGTACAGAGTAATTGGTGGGCAATGATACAGTGAAAGGCCAAAAAAGGGATCAGTTTGAAAACCGCGAAATTGCAACAGCTGATAAAAAAAGTTGTTCAGTTGAAACTAAAAATCTTTAGAGGTCATTTGTAGAACTGTCCTCATTTGCCGATTTATTTTTACTGAGTGTTAATATGTAATGGAGCATTAGTTGTTCTTATTTTTTCTTTATTTGGTCATTTGAATTGTTCGTTTGATGTGGATCAACGTAAATTGAATATTTAAGCATAAATTGCTATATAATACACATATATTAGACCGGGCAAACAGCTAATTCAACATCCTCTTTTGAACAACAATAGTGACATGGTTTCTGCATTTCTTTTTCGGCAGTCTTATCAAATTTTAGGCTTTGTTTCACTCTATATCATCACTGCTATTACCTGCCAGTTGTTACCTGTTAGTCGGAAATGTAAAGGGAACGAAGACTAATTGCCAATCTTAGGCGACATTTGCATTCTTGGAGAAAAATCTGTCTCTAAATGCTCAATTTATTTTTCTCAGCAATAATAGCTTTTTTTTTTGCTGATTGCATAAAACAGTTGTTGTTTTTTCTTTCCCCCTTTTCTTCCTCTACTGTTTTTATCCACTGACAGTCGACGTTCCCTTCCCACATTTTGGAAAGTACGCATGGAAAAACAACAGGATTGTCTGTTTGCTGAGAAGGCAGGAACAGTTTCTATTGCTGTGTAGTCAAATTCACCAAAAATTCCAATCGAAAATTTGAATACAATCCTGCATTGAATTTTATTTGACAAAAAAGTGAATATTTTTATAGTTTTTGCTAAAATTGATTCAGTCTAGTCAGCTGCATTCTTCATTTTATGGGCAGACCTTTTTTCTTGACAGACTTTTCTGCGGGTTGAAAGTGGTCAGGTCTTGAAACCATAAAAGTTCAGCATCTTAAGGGTTTATTTTTAGGGATAAGTGATTTTAAAAAGAGCGGTGAAAGAATTGTAGGGTCAGTAGTATGCATCATCTAGTACTGTTTTTATGAAGCTAAAGTGGTTTTTTGACAATTGGCATTCATTTAGAAACAAAGTTGATCTGAAAAAGGCTCTAGAAAACGTTTTGTTTTGGTTTATCTCCTGCATAATTATATCCTAAATACTTTCTCTCAATTTTTCCTTTCAAAACTTACAAGTTAGATTGCTCAAATTTCTAGGTTTATTAAAAAAGGGCTTTTTTCAACTGTATTATTCAATTTGTTTCTCTAATTGATCTTGGTTTTTTCCTTTCTTTATTTCTTTGTTGATACAACAACCAAAAACGCAGCTAGTCAGAATTTTAAAGAAACATTAACAGGAAAAGACTGTAAAGATGGAATACGTAATAGTACTGTTTTTGGGACTGCTCTAATAGAAGAAAAAATGATAGTTGTACGGCTAGACTGGCAATAAGAGTTTTGCTCAAAAACTTTTTTTTCGTATTTTTGTTGTTCCTGGCAGAGGTCGTCCTAGATGGAATTTTTCCTTCCCTGGTGTAATTTCCAAAAAACTATGCAGTTTCAACTTCAACGTTCGATGCAAATTTTTTAAAACAATGTCTGATTAAACATAATTTAGATTTCTGTTATTGGCCATCAAACTGTCATTTCTCCAAAGACAGCATTTTTTGTTATTTTTGATTGTAGAAATTAAAAATGGAAGAATGAATTAGTTTTTTTCACTTTTTGTTTGTTTTTTTATTTTTCGGTATTCTGAAACTTGTCTTTATTGGTTTATTTCTTCTCAAATTTTAATATTTATGCTGAAATTTCTGTTGTTTTTTCAGTGCTTATTGACGTTGCCTTTTTAATGAAACTAAAACTTGCATTCTACTGATATTATCGTTAATGGCGTATACAATAAGTGTTGTTCTTTTTCTTTTTTTGATAAAAGAAAATACGGATTTGTAAACATTTATATATGTATATATTTAAAAAAACAAACTTTTAGATCTAAACAAAATGCTGGAGAAATTACCAATTGAAATACAATTAATTATTCTAAGCAACTGCAACTTTAAAACATTATTACGCTTAAGAGAGGTAAGGAACGGTATGTGTTCATTTTGATGCATGCATATGCTTATATTTCTTCAAATTAATTATCATTCTGTAATTATTAAATGATTTTATTAGCTTTAACAAAACAACTTTTTTTTTTTTTGACACCTTATCTCATTCAAAAAATCGAAAAAAGGAAAATATTACTCATTTGAACAAATTAGAAGCAAAGAGATGAACAAAGAAGTTTTGTCATATTTTCAGCTATTCAATTATTGCTAACTGAAAGATAACAGTTCATTTTAAGGGTCTTTTAAGTTTGGTTGTTGACAAGAGGGTTTATTTTTGATCAGTCTAATCGTTATTGAATGTTTCTAATATAAAAAAATAAAATTCTTAGGAAAGGGAAAATGTTGAAGAAAACTAAAATTGTCTTTCAATAGTTGTTTAAACTATTAGCGGAAATCGTAACCGATACAGGAAAATTGTAACACAGACGAAACAGCAAACGATAATGTTTTAAAAAAAGAATTATGAACATCTGATAAACCGAATTCTATTCAGTAATTCTTTCTTTTTGATTGATAAAGATGTATTTTTATGTTTATAAACAGATATAAATTTTCAAATCTTATATTGATACGTTTTTTTTTATCAGAATATTTTCTGCTTTTTTTCTTCTTTTTCTTTTTTTCGAGGAATTTATATTTTTTGTTTCAAATCATCTGATTATCTGACACATTTTTTGCTTTTTCAATTTTTTGTACAAACCAAGTGTTAAAAAATTATTTTGTTTTTGTTCCTTTCGATAATGTCAGTTGGTTTCTTAAAAAAATATATGTTTAATTTTTAATGAATTTATACTTTTAGTTCAAAATAACAGAACTAATTCAATTGCCTTTTTTGAGGGAAATATTTTTTATGTTTCTTTTTTTTGCAAGAATAAAAGGCAGAATATTTTTTGTTTATCTACTGAATTTAATTATACTTTGTCAACATTTTTGCTCGTTTATTTTGTATTCAAATTATTTGAAACTGGCACCATTAAAACTGTTAAGAAGAAAAAAAAAAGCGTTGTTTGTTTAGCAAAAAAGAGAACGAATTATCTGATAATAAGACGTTTTCAGCAAACATTTAGCAAAGCTTCTTCTGAACAGAAGTTATTTTGAAGATGCTTAAAATTTGCGAAATGCTTTTCTGAGTAATGCCTTTTGAAATCCATAGGAATATATGCTAAAAAGTTGGTTATATCCACTTTTCTTTTTTTTTTTTTTTTCTGTTCAAAATCGACAGATTAACAGTCTACGACGGTGGATTTTTTAAGGTTGTAAAGTTAGGGTTACGATAAGGCGATGGACGATACGGTAATGGGTACACTAAATTTGTTTGATATTTATAATTTTTTTGGCAACTCTGAACAGATGAATAAATTATTGAAATAGTTGTTGCATTGCAGCAGAAAAAAAAAGTGAGAGATAATTGTAGGTTTTCAGTTTATGCATCTAAGTTTACGTGATTTTTCCATCTGACATTTCAGAAATTTTTTTGTAATTTGCTATTCAATAAGATTTGAGCTCAGAGTTTGAAGCTTGAAGTTAGAATTTGAGGAACAGAATGACCAGGTAAACTTATTGAGATTAGCAAAAGTTGTTTGAAATTTATTTTATTGCTTCTAAAATTATAGTTAACTTAAGTCTTGATAAACTTCGTAAACATTTTTTTTTTTGCTGTCTCAGATCTTTAGGACTACAGTTTTGAACTATTACACCTTTTTTCCCGTATCAGTTAAGCGGGTATATACAGCAAACGTTCAAAAATAAATGTTTGAAAGAAAATTTAAAAACGTTCGCTTAAAATTTACAAAAAGAAAAAAAAAGATTTTGTGTAAAGTTTTTTTTTTTTCTGTTTTATAAAATACCACAATTTACTGGTCGTTTGTTTTGATCAATTCGAGAGTTATACACTGAAAAATGATGATGCAAAATTGATAAGAATTCACTGTTGTTTGCAGTGATCGTATGAATTTTACAGTTTTAGAAACGGCCCAACAAAGTTTTGCTTTGAAAAATCTGACAAAACTTGTTATTGAAAAAAATCTATTAACATTAAGTCATTGAAGAGATGTTTTTAGCAGATTATACTATTGTACAAAAAAAAACATCTGCAAATTATAATTTTACAGTTACAAATATATCTGTTGGTTTGCTGTCGAGTAAAATGTAAAGTCAAGAAAACTTTACTGATCAAACTTCTGCTGTGCAGTAAAATTCCAAACAAAGAAAAAAAAAATTCTGAGTTATTAGCTGAAAAATGATAGTGCAATTGACCGGAGAACAGTTGTCTGAATATAGGCATTAAAAAAAATAATGGATTATAAAAAACAAAAAAAGAGAATAAGAATAGGAAAGTATACCACAGCTATAAAAATGTAGCTAATTTTTTTCTCTCTTTCTTCTTCTTTTTTTTTTTTTTTTTTTGAACTTAGAATAAAATGATCAGTAAATAGAGAGAGAAAAAAGTTTAAAAACTTTGTACTTTTGTCTGCTTTTTTTTTGTTTTCCTCCTTATTTATTCAACTTATATTCAGGTTTGTTGGCTGTATACGACATTGGTGGAAAAACAGTTGTTTAAATGGTTGGAATTGGATGTAGCTGCAGATTATTTGCAATTCTATGACTATTTTTCCGGTGATACATTACAACGTGACAACAATATTGTTTTTAGTAAATTAATCTATTTTTTTGCTAATTATATGCCGGATTTACAAAAATTATCACTTCGCAGTACACCGGTTACAATTCAGTTAGCCGAACTTATACAGGTATAAAAAAAATGTTAGAATTACCGAAAAAAAAAAGAAGCAAATGAGAAAGAAGAGTAAAAGAAGAAAACATCTAAGTTTAGCATAGTGTTTTGTCCTTTTGTCACCTTATTATTTTTTTTCTAGTATTATGATTAACAGAAGTAATTTTGTCATTGACGACAATAAAACATAATGCATATAAAGTTGATTTTGCGGAAAAAAAAGTGACTAAATAAATAAATCAGGTAAATAAAATTTAGAGTTTTTCTGTTCTGCAATATGATTTATAGCCAAATTAAATAATGTACTATATGACAGATTCAATGTCATTAATAATTTCTTCAAATTGATATTATCACATCATCGATGTTGTTGTTATAGATGGCCAAAGCTGTACCATTATTAGAAGAATTAGACTTAAGTCGAGTAGATGATAAACCATTTTTTGGTCGAGATGCTGTTATGGCATTACCGTATTTTCATAACCTTAAATCACTTAAATTAGATGGCTTTTTTGTACGACGTAATGCTGGTCGAGGTAAGGCTTTTTTTAGTTTCTTTCTTGTTTTTCTTCTTCTTCTGTATTTGCATAAAAATTCAAGTTTTTTTTTTCAGTACTATTGATGTCTGGGTAAAACTGCAAAAATTTTTTGAGGTTTTTAAACGAGAAACAGTGAAAGACAAATGAGCTACAAAATCTTCTTCTAAGTTAGCTGAAAATTACTCTAACAACCAAAATTTAGTTGGGTTTAAGTGTTATCAGATAGTCAATTACAAAATTTCGCTCTAATTAAGCTAAAAATTGTTCTATGAGATCACAGTTTAGTTGATCATAAGTGTTACAGCTAGAAAAAATGGTTAATTTGGTGTTGATCTGTAAGCATTATTAAGGTTGTGCGCATCGTCTAGAAATTCCTCCAATTCATCAACTTTATGGATTGGAACGATTCGAAATTTTAGAAGGTTTTGGAGTAAATGCTAGGAATGATACAATTTTTGGAATATTATTTTCGTTACGTGAAAATGCAACAGTTTTGCATAATTTACAGTGGATTAAAGTAAGTGCTTCTTTTTTTTTTTTGTCTTTCTTACTGTTGTTGTTTTTAACTGAATTTACTCTTTCTTACATTTGTTTTTTTTTACTTTATTTTATGTTGTTTTTGTCAAAAAAAAGAAAAAACGCAATTTAGAAGTAAAAATAGTAGTGAAAAAGTTTTTTTTTGCTCGAAAATGTGAGGTGTTAATGGTGGTCGAAAAATGTGAAAATGTAATGACGATAATAAAACAATAAAAGAAGCAGTTAACCAGTGGCATTTTTATGGTTTATTTGTTTATCAATATGAGTTTTTTTTCGCATTATTTGTTACTTCCATTACACCAAAATATTAGGAAACTAATAATCCCTTTTTTTATTCTTTCTTTTTTTCTCTTCTTTTACCTCTACTCTTCCTTCTCCTTTTTTCGATCCGTCTTCTTTTGTGTTCCGATAGCTAATATTTTGACTCATTACTGTGCAGCAGAAGAAAATTGGCAAAAAAATTGATGTTGGTAAATTTAAACTAAACCTCTGTTGTTTTTTTATGGTTTTTTTGCAGGTGTGATTGAAAAGTTGGGAGAAGTTTTAAAATAGTTCAGTTCTTTAACGTGCTTTTATGTATTTGTGTTTTTGTGTCAAAGGCGTAAACCTCGTCCTCACCGCTTCTAAACCCAATGATAATGAAGGATAGTCTTTCAGTTCCGAGTGCGACAGTGCCACCAATTGTTTCCGGAGCTTCTGATTTGGTTTCTATTCCATCACAAAAATCTTCGATCGGTTCATTTGCATAATGTTCTTTTTGAAACTTCATTACAACTTCGAAAATTTTATAAGTATGTTGTTTTTTTTTTATTCCATAATTCTATAAGTCATAAACACTATCAGTTATCAGAGTATAACCTTCAACGGTTATATCAAAAGGTGGAGTTTTATTCAATTAGTTAACTGAAGTCTAACTACTGCTTGTTACTTCTGCTACAAATGGCAAAAACGCGAAAAAGAAGAAGGAAAAAATTACCAACTAGCTAAGATTTTCTAAAAAAAATTTTCATTTTGTTGACCACATGGTTAATTTGAATTAAAAAAAAATTAAAAACAAGAAAAATTGGATGTTGAAATTATTTCATAATTGCTTATTTAGTCGCAAAAATATTTGCAATTTTTTGCTGTTTACTTTATTTTGTATAACAAAAAGCATAGTAAACAAATAGAAAGTTTGAATGAGTGTCTGTTGTTTAGTTTATTGCTAAAGAACATCGATAGCTGTTGAATCGTTAACTGACGAAAATCTGTAAATCATTAAGTGTTTACTATTCGTCACTTCCAACTTTCATTGCCAACTCTATGGTTGTGATGGCGATGGTTGTGGTTGTTGCCGTGGCGGTGGTGGTGGTGAAAAATTTTGACTCTTAGATCTATCTATGCCCGGTAGTTTGAACACCCGATAGTTTGACCACAACTGAATACAGATATTTGCTGTTCAAATGTACAGCACTTGTCCAGTTGTATTCGGATTGTTAGTCAGTAGTTTGAAAATTGCCGATAAACCATTTATAAGACATATAGTTGTTTGTACGGATCTTCAAATTATCGTCATCGCTGTTCGGTGCTTCGGTGATACAACTATAACACCAATTTACCTGTGTTGATATACCAACGACAAATTAAATGTCATTTTTTGAGAATGTCAATCAGAAAACAGTTTTTATCCGAACTGTTATTAAACAAATATGAATAGTTTTAAGTTGAAGTAAGCATTTTAACCAAAATATTTTTTTTGAACATAATTTGTTGATGATAATAAGCAGTTTTTTCGCAACCAAAACTGATAAAGCAAAATAGACAATATGGAAAATCTTCTTTTACTTACAGTTTGTCTTTACTGTTTCAACTATACTTTTTAGAATTACATTAATTTTTCCTTTTTAATCACATCTCCATCTAAAAATTGCTTTTTTTCTGCATCATCAGATTGCATATACATTTCTTTAAGTTCAATTTTAAAAAACTTGACCTAAGGAATGCTGTTAGTCTCTTTTTTGTTTTGTTTTAGTCTAAATATTATCCTAAAAGGTAACACATTTAAGGCATTTAAGCATGACAGATGGCATTTAAGCATATACATTTCTAAAAGCACACGAATAAACTAATCGATCATTAAACTTAATAAGTCTATTTTGAATGTTCAGCAAGGACAGTTGTTTTTTCGATTAAGGATATTATTCGATTGAAAACTATTAAATATTTATTGGTTTAATAGACTATATGTGTATGAAAGCTCTTTTGTTTTGCTGATAAAAACACTTTGTATTTAACTGAATTTAGCATAATTATTTGATTCGTAATGATCAGTTT